AAGAAGCTGTTTGTCCGCACGGAGAGGGGACCGGGTGGGGGGATGTGAAAAAAGCACCCAATCCAGTTGAGCAGCTCCCAGAACCCGACGTTTGCTTCCACCAAGGTGGGCAGGCTTCAGCTTTGTCATATCCCCAGTGACAAGGTAGTAGAACCGCCTGCCTGTCTCAAATAGGGAACCCCTTTTTGATGTTGCCGAGCAGCCAAAAGGAAACAAACCACCTCAAGGGGTCCCTAAATATGAGAAATACCCTGATACCACGGGGTTTTGGGCGATGCTCACTCTGACTTGAACTCCTCAACGTCGAAGCCGGCCCTTGCTTTAATGGACGAGCGCGCGGCGGAAAGCACGGCGCCTCGGACGGATCAGCATTGCTGGGTGTGCAGCAAAAAAGAAGCCTGGTTGGTTGTTTGGTTGGTCGTTTGTTCCTTCTTTGCTGGCGGGTCGGTCGGTCGGGCAGTCGGGCGGTCGGATGTTGCTGGGTGTTTTGGTTGATTGCTTTGTTGGTTGGCTGGCTGGTTGGTTGCTTGGTTGCTTGGTTTGGTTGATTGCTTGCTGGCTTGCTTGGTTTTCTTGCTTGCTTGGTTGGTCGCTTGGTTGCTTGGTCGGTTGGTTAGTCGGTTGCACTTCGGCAACGAAGCCGAGCCATCCCGGAGACAAGCAAGCAAAATGCGATGGGCCGTGTTGCACCCAAATGGGGGTGGGACTTGGTTTTGGGAACCCTTGTTGGTTGGTTTTAAAGGGCAAATAGGAAAACCGCAATTTTAGGTGGAGGGGGGGATCCACTTAAAGAACACGCCAAATAGATCCAGTGATTAACACGCCCAAATAGATCCAGTGATTTATGGCATAGTCATATCATATTGGCTGTGCCCTCGAATGCTAAACAGCAACGAAGATAGGCTTTGGGCAAATAAGTAGTAGCAAATGGGTAGTGGTACATGGGGTTGTCTCCTGTCCGCAAGGGTTTCTTGTGGATCCCCATGAGAATAAACAAAACGGCACCTGATTCACCAGGATTCTGCGCCGCAAACAGTTGGAAGGTCCACAAGGTCCATGCATGTTTGGCTCAAAACGGTTACCACCTAACATGTGGCCATGGGTCAAAACCCCGCACCCCCAAAGAACATCCCAACCCCCACTAAAATAAGTTCTAAAAATGGGTGGTGCACCTATCCCAAAATAGGATCCCAATTGTTTTGAGCCATGGCCATGTGTGCTTTCTTTTTAGCGCCCCTGTGAAGCAAAGTCAAAACGTTTACCGAGCCTCAAACAAGACGTGCCCAAACGGAAGGTGATGAGCCTGAATGTATGCTGGCCATTCAAAACAGTCCCAACAATGTGTCAACTGCTTTTGACGTACACTTCCATTTGCTGAAATGAATACTTTATTATTTTCCCCTTTTGGTTTTAAAGGGAATCTATCACTACTGGAAATTTATAAAACAAATTTCCCGGGGGCTTAAGCAAATGGAGGTACAGCTCTATATTCTCAAACCAACCCTCTGGGAACCAACATGGAACCAAGCTTTTGAAGGGGTGCCGGGGTTTGACACCTGGAATTGCTCAAAGGCTCCCTGTTTGGGCGCTGTTCCTTCCAAGGCAACCTGGTTTCCGCTCACTTGAACTCAAAAAGCCAATTACTTCAAGCCTCTGAGATTGGATGTCAGCCTTAAGCGTTTGCGGTTCAAAGTTTGGAGATTTGAGGGCCGAGGTGTATTTGCTTCCTCCTAGGGCTGTTTCTGTCTTGCGCTGGTTTTTCTTGGCGCTGGCAACATCCCCAACACTCCAAAACCAATCCTAAACCACCCAACACTCGCTGGACCACACCCTAAAGCAGACCTGAGCCAGCAGCACACTCGTTGCGTATGTGGTGCGTGAGGTGCATGTGGGCGTGCGTGGGGTGGGGTGCGTGGCGCAGGTGCAGGGGTGCTCCAGGCCAGCCCCAAACCCAAAGTCAACCCCGACCCCACCCAACAGCAGCCTGGATGGCCCTTTGAGCCGAAAATTTCTCCCCAAAACACGTCACGTGGGCTGCTCCAAGAAGTAAACCCGAATTGGTGGCTTCCCTTTGGTTCAGTCTCTCCCACCTCCATAAAACAATACCCTCAAACCAAAACACATACACACACAGACACCCAGAAGTGGGCAAATAGACCTGGAATCCCAACAACCTGCACCATTTTTGGGAGGGAAGCCTTCCCTTCCATTTGGTTAAGACCCCCGGATTATTATTTTTTATCTCCAGCAGTGATAAGTTCCTTTTTAAACCAACAAGGGAAATTAAACAATATTCATTCCAGTAAGTGGAAAGTTCCCTGTCACGGAGTCGATTTCCAGAGCAAAAATCGGGGCCCCCAAACAATCTCCGCTTTCCAAGGCACGTGTGGCCCACGAAGGCATCAGCGCCTCGATTCCGATGGCTCGAGGCTGGGCATGGGGCACACGGCTGTGGTGAAACAAATGGATCGAGGACGGGACCGTGGTTGGGATGAGTTGGGTATTCTGGGCACGCGGTGGCGAAATGAATGAATGAATGAAGAACCCCGAAACCGCTGTGGTTGGGATGGGTTTTTCGTACTGTGGACTACGAATCCAGACCGATTTTGGAGGGAAGATTCAGCTCTGTAAGTCTGAAAAGCAGAAGTGGATAGCGGACAGCGGGTGGTAATAATGGAAATCCAAGGCGTAACATCATCCGAACGACGCAGTGGAGCATTGAAAGTGATTGTCATGTCCCTCCTGGGACATTAGAGACGGAAGGGGTTCATTGCAAGGCTGGGTGATTCCTTACCGCCTGCAAAGAAATGGCAATCCCCCATATGAAAATCAAGTCATTTAGATACAGGTCGATTCGTGCCATCTGAAACTTGGTGGTTTAGATCCATGTTGCAGACAGCAAATTGACAAGTGGTTGATCCCTCCGAAAAGGACAATGGTCGCGTGAATGGCAATACTCCAAAGCGGTCCACCATGGCTTTGTGTATGCACGCAATCAGCTTGTGACCCACACCTTGTTGGTTCCCGGCCAAGAAGATAACAAGCCCAGGTGGTATCCCGAACAGCCACGGAGCCCACTGGAACCTCCTTTTGAACCCTCCCCGAAAGCTGCCCCCAAACCCCATACTGTGGATGGACAAATTCCTGCACTACTTTGAAACCATGGGAAACCAGTTTTTGTCGGTTTTTACAGGCGAATCATCATTTCCAGCGTTTTGAACTGTGGTGCGACATGGATTTCGTCCATCCACAGCAGCCTCCAGCTCCTGAACCCTCCAAATGGCTCTGATTGCCCCAAAACTTCGGGGATGGTGTCCCTTGTCCAAGGCTAGGTCCTCCAGATTAGAGAGCTTAGAATATGGGTACCAACTCTTTTTCTTTTTTGTCCATTTTGGTAGGGTCCCGGTTTCCTCCCAACCAAAAAAGGGGAGAGAAAGAGCGGGCATCAATTGCTGGGGGACGCGCCTTGCGAGCCGCCAGCTCGGTGGCCAGGTCTTTCAGCGAAGCAAACCTGTCCATCAAGGCTGGCTTTCAAGGGTGTGCCAAAGAATAGAATTCTAGCCCTGAGGGTCCTTGTCTTGGACCTCAGATTTCAGGATCTGAAGAATCTGTGATTGACGAATCTCCTTGAACCAAACCCAAAGCCGGAACTAGTACTTAGCCCTGTCTGGGTAGGGGCCAACTCCAGTTCCATTCTTTCCAGGGGTCCTTCCTTCCAGAAACCATCAGAACCCCAGGGGAAACAGCTAATTGTTGAAAAGAGCGATGGCTGAAAATAATGGGGAATGAACCCCTAGAAGAACTCCAGGTTGTTGGTCAGCTGTGGTAAATGGTTTTCGACGGTTCTGTTTAGTGGGATTCGAGAGTTTCTATGACTTCCTCACTCAAAAGTAGACGACCTCATCACAGAAAGTGGACCTCAAAACATCCACGACACCAGCCTAACTGCAGAGCAAGCATCTCGAGACGACTCTCCGGAGGTGACGCTTCCCACCAAAACGCTGGGAACCCAACGTTGCAACCAACGATCACCAGCAACAAACCGATTTGCGCGGTTTGCCCTGGACAAAGCCCAAGAACACAAAGCGTACCAAACAGTCAGCCGGTCCAAAAACTCAAGAGACTTTGGAGCGTCCAAATGTGCAGAGCAATGAAAAGCGTCAGAAGGTACCGCTTTGTGCACCTCATGGATTCACACGCTTCGGTTACCAGACCGCATTGACTTGGATACGCACCTCACTCTTTCAGTTGGCCCAGGCAAAGTACTCAAGCCTTGCTGCCATGCACTAGTAGGTCCTCCAGATTTGAGAGGTTAGAATAAGGGTCCCAACTTTTTCTGTAGTCTATTTTCGTAGGGGAACCCTCCCAACCAAAAAAGGGTAAAAGGGCACTACTGGGGGACCTAGACTAGTAAAGTCTGTTTGCTCTGACAGCAGCTACCAAGAACTGGGCAAAAGCTGAAGCAAGTGGTTTGCCCGTTTGCCCATGGACGACCACTCGGAAAAGAGTTGAAAACATGTCCGAGTTGCAAGTAGGCGCACTGTCAATGTGTGCCATTTAGTCTTGCATAATTCATCTCACCCTGAAATATGCGGTCAAGCAAGCATGCACATGAGTGGCGGCGTCCAAGAAAAGGTGCACCGTTGTTTCACGTACATCAAGACTGTGCTCCCACGTACTGAGACCCGGCGAAATAGTTTGTCTATTCCATATCATGGCGAATGAAATCAAACACTCACCAATCGTATTCCTGCACCAATGCTGAATTTCATGCCCGGTGTTTGCGTGCTGAACAAAAGGCGAGAACACCCAGAAGTTTCGATCACTCGGTTCGACATCTGCGCGTGATATTCTGCCAAAGGCACGGACTGTCCAGGACCAATCCAGCGATGGAAGGGTCCCTGTCGGCATGCATGATCGCCTAAGCTCAGAACACTAAACTCCAATCCTCCAGATAGCTGTTCTGAAATTCGTGCAGAAATGGTCGTACAGCTTGAGTCTCAATTGACCAAAAACATCTCCACTCCTGCCCAACTGCACAACCAAATACGAGCTAGTATCTCTGGGGCTTTTGCCCTCTCCAAGAGGAGAGGAGGAATTTCACTTCAAATATCATCTCTCGTGTTTAAGCCCACCAAAAAGGGGCAATATAGGGAACGCTGGACAACCCTGCCACCCTCGCTGGGCTTAACAGTCACGCGTGTTTGTTAGCTACTGGGCAAGCAATCACAACAAATGGTAGGTCAAACCAAACCTAAGAGCAGTCAAGAAGAGGACGTCTTCAACCTCAATTGCCCAGAAACCGGTAGAAACAAAATGCTGATGCCACTTGAGTTTCTGAACCCAACAGGACGAACTTGGAGAAGTTGCAATCTACTGTGGCAAGGCTTGTCACCTGCCACCACCCAGCACCACCATCCCAACAGAGTTCCCAAGGAAACAACTTCCGAAATCACCTGTTTCACAAGCCAAATCAGCCAACCGTGATTTTCAACATGGACATGCATCCTTTGCTGGGCCCACAGGGGTTCTGCAAAATGTGCTGAAATGGTCCAGCCCCCGTTGGTTTCTTTCAGAAATGATGACAACATGGCATGTGCTATCTACCCAGCTTCACTTCACCCCCGGTTTGGGCCCACACACACACACACACATGTTTAATCACCCGTTCGCCGTTTGCCGCCAAACTCGGGCATCTCAAGAACGGGCCCTGCATCTTTCCAACCCTCCCAAAAACAAGACCATCCAACCATATCCACCCCCCTCCACCCCACCCTCCATTTGCCTAAGTCCCCTAGAAAAAGCAAAAATCCAGAAATAATAGATTCCCTTTAAAACCCAGAGGGGCAAACACAAACATGAACTTCTTCTTCTTCTTGTGGCTTCTGGGCCCCCCCTCCCCACCCAAAACGCCCACCGTGGCCACCCCACTACCCCCACCCCTCCCGCGACCGACCGTGGGACGAGCGAGGCGCGGTGAAGGCGCCCATGGAGCGGCCCCAGAGCGCCACGCGGCTCACGCGCCCGGAGCGGCGCAGCAGCTCCACGCAGGCCGCCAGGTCCTCCCGCTCGAACCTCGGCGTCGAAAAATCGTCGAGAAATCCGAGGGGGGAACATCGCAGAGAAAAAACAACAACAACAGAAAAATAAAAAAAATCAAACAAAAGAAAAAACACAAAAAAGAAACAACCACATGCGTTCCTTTTGGTTTCCCTCTCAACCTTGCCAAACCATGGGATATACGGGAAGGAGGGGACCTGGCGGAAATCACACAGGAAGGGAAAGGGAATGGATGGGAGGAGGGAGGGCGGCAGGGAGGGAGGGAGGGAGGAAAGGAAGGAAGAAATGAAGCATGAAGACGCGGAAAGGGAAGGAGGAAGGGAAGACATGAAGAAGCGAAGAAAGAAAGAAAGAAAGAAAGAAAGAAAGAAAGAAAGAAAGAAATAAAGAAAGAAAGAAAGAAAGAAAGAAAGAAACAAAGGATTTTTCATGGGACATCACCCAGGAAGGGAGGGAAGAAATTCATGGAAAATCACACAGGAAGGGAAGGGATAGGAGGAGGGAGGGAAGGGAAGGGAGGGAAGGAAGAGAGAAAGAACTGAAGACAGAAGAAGGAGATGAAGAAAGAAAGAAAGAAAGAAAGAAAGAAAGAAAGAAAGAAAGAAAGACAGAAAGACAGAAAGAAAGAAAGAAACAAAGAAAGAAAGAAAGAAAGAAACAAAGAAAGAAAGAAAGAAAGAAACAAAGAAAGAAAGGGAAGAAAGGGAAGAAAGGGAAGAAAGGAAGGAAGAGAGGAAAGAAAGGAAGAAAGGAAGACACCATCATTTCTTAAAGGGGCATTGTACGTCAGGCAAGTGGTTCAGCCTGGGGAGACAACCCACTGAACAGCGACTTATAATCAGGGTAAGTGGGTTATAACCACTGAGTACAACGCCCCTTTAAGTGGGAAGTCCTGGCCAACTCCTTTTTGTAGCCTTGAGATGTGGAAAACCCTGCCCTCGCGGCGGTATGGCCATGTATGGCCCCCAGGCCCCCCGACCAGCCCAGGGAGATGTAGTCCCCCTCAGACAGCCCGGATCCGCTGAAGTCGAAGCAGAACAAACTGACCCGCAGCGGCAGCAGCAGCCTCAATCGACGCGTTTTTGCCAACCTCCAAAAGGGTCAATGCTACTGTGGATGGTTGCGAAATCCCATTTCCCACCGCCTACAACACCCTGGAATGATCATTCCCCAGTAAATACCAGCAAACAATTGTTGCCCAGGCATACCGGGGAAGCAGGGATGCGGACAATATTTTCGTCAGGTCACATTTCGGCCTGATGTTTCCCTTACACAAAAGAAGAGAAAACATCTCGCACCTCCAGCCGCTTTTCCTCGGTGTCCCAACGCCTTATTTTTGTTCTTTATCCCAAAGCGGGTGACTTCCCGGTGCCCTTTGTGACGCGTCTGCAGCGGAGCAACGGCAGCAAGGGCAGAGCCTCCAGCCGGCACGAGGAGTTCCCGTGGAGGAAGATGACCTGAAGCCAAGCGGCCTCGAAAAAAACAAAGAAACAAAGGGGGTGGCTTGTAAGCGATATTGAATAGCCATTTCGAGGAAAAAAAACAATCCGAAGAAAAAACAGGAAAAACAAAAAGTGGACACTCGTGCATCCAGTTGCTAAAAAATAAGACCCCAGGACCAGGAGCTCCCATTCTTTTCACCTGGAACCTGACGTTCGGGGCATCCTGGGAGACCATTTTCTTTTTAAGGGGGCCCCCTGTCAGGTTCCATGCTAATTGGTGGGAGGGCAATGTCCAGTAGTAAAAAATAGATTCCCAAATTAGCATGAACAGGGGAGAAGAACAGATCTTCTGAAGCAAATGGAAGCGTGTGGATAGGCTGGAACCAAAAAGGAAACGAAACGAAGCGAGTTCAGCGATATCTTGAGAAACATGCAAAAGGGCCCCCTTCAAACATTTTTCCAAAAGAGCACTAATTTGCTCACAACGATTAAAAGCTGCGATGTTTCAATCATCCGAAAAAAAAAAAAAAAAAAAAAAAAAAGAGAAAAAAAAGGAACTGCGAGGACTGAGGAAGGCCCTTTTGGATCTCCAGTTGTCCCCAGAGCTAGCTGTGATTTCTGCAACAGGCAATGAGGTCGAGTTGGACCTATAAAACAGGGGACTCAGATTGGCACTTTGCAATTCCAGATAGGTGACCCCCAAAAAACGGCGGTGTTCGCTTTGGTGCCCTTTGAACACCACCCCAAAAAAGAGAAATTACGCTCAAAAAAGCCACACACTCAAATGATGCCTAACCGTGAGCATCACTTCGCGGCTCAGGTTTCTTGAATGCCAGGTGGCACAAGGCCGCTCCCGCGGCCAGGTCTCCTGACGGGCCGAGGCTCTGGCCAGGTTTCGCGAGCTGAGACTTTCCCGTTGGTTTTCCAAAAGACTAAGGGGATGGCTGGGAACCACCAAGGGTTCAAGGTTCGGGCGAGGGGTTGCCCATGGACTAAAAACATATTGGGGCAACAAGCCGACGGAGTCGGATGGGCTCGTCTTCGATCATGCTCTTCGTAACTCGGCTTTTGAGGGCAAGCATGTACCCTTCCACCAATGAGCATTCAGCTTCTTCTCACCCCAGAGCATTGGGATCTTTGAACATCCTTGTTCAACAACAAAACAAAACAACAAAACAAAACAAACAAAACAACACATCCCTTCAACAACAAAACAAAAATTTGCATAACAGCGATGCGGGAACTTCACTTCCGTCCTCCGTGGGGACCCCGGGCTCAGGGATCGCCTCGAAGAGCGAGCACCTCGCGCGTCAGGGGAGAAGTGTGTAACTCTTTCACAGGGGCTGGGGAGGAGGGGAGGCTGGGGGAGGGGAGGGGAACGGAGGGGAGGGGAACGGAGGGGAGGGGGAAGCTCAAACAAGGCCTTATTAAGTGCTTGTTTTAAGTGCTTGTAAGAGCTTAAGAGCCAATTGGGCTCCCCCTCCCCTCCCCTCCCTCCCTCCTCCCCCTCCCTCCCCTCCCTCCCCTCCCTCCCTCCCTCCCCTCCCTCCCCTCCCTCCCCTCCCTCCCCTCCCTCCCCTCCCTCCCCCTCCTCCCCTCCCTCCCTCCCTCCCTCCCTCCTCTCCCTCCCCTCCCTCCCTCCCTCCCTCCCTCCCTCCCTCCCCTCCCTCCCTCCCTCCCTCCCTCCCTCCCTCCCCTCCCTCCCTCCCTCCCTCCCTCCCCTCCCTCCCCTCCCTCCCTCCCTCCCCTCCCTCCCTCCCTCCCTCCCTCCCCTCCCTCCCCTCCAGGCCCCACCACTCTCCGTACTGTGAACTGGCACCTGATCGGTTGCTGCAAAGAGACTCCTTCTGCAAAAAGTCTGATGACTTTCTGTGGATCCAACGGACAATCCACTTTTTCAACCAAAAGTCAAAGTCCAAAGATCCATTACCAAATAGCCATAAGCCAGGTAGGAGGTAAATTTATCCCAGAAAGGGCCTTATCCCCGGCTGCAGGATTTTAGCTTCTTCTTTTTTTTCTGAAACCACACATTCCGAATCAGTTTGGTGCTCCCTTCTTTTTTTTCTAGAGTTGACTTAATTAAGGAAAGTCACGTTTGCAGTATGTATTTCAATTGGGAATCATTTGGCCATCATGAAAAACATTGGGACGCATGACCATCACCCAATCACCTTTGGAGAAAGCGTTCTCCATTCAACGTCAAGACACACAGCCACAGACATGGAACCGACCAAGGAGACCGACCATGTTCCGGCAAAAAAAAAGGTTCGGTGGGTTCCAGGTTGGACTGGCTAAAATCGAATGGTTGTTTGGTACCTATGTCTCTGGAGTTCTCACCCATATGCCAGGCAAAAGATCCAAATGCATCCAAATGATGCTCGCTTATATACCGTCCACCCACTCAATCCTGTACTTTCCCTTCCGCCTCTGCATCTGGACGTGATTAAGGGTGTACGTGATTAAGGGTGTCCGTGCTTCCCCCCAACCTTTTAAGGCATTCCCAAACAAACATCAAGTAAAGCAGCCCATTGGGGAAACGCAAAGAACCCCCTAAAATGGGAAAGTGTTTGACTTCCCTGAACCATCCCCGTTTACTCACTTCCGTAGACTGGCCAAAGAAAGTGCCCAAACTTCTTTTGTTTGCCACTCACGGTCCAAACTCAAAAGGCTTTATCCCGCCTCTAGCGACGTACCTGGAAGATCAAAAGCAACCTCCTGTTCTGTGCCATGCGAGTGGGTGGGATTCCACTTGGATCTTCAAGTCGCCAAAACATATGGAAACCGTAGATGGCCAGGTGCAAAGGGGAGGTGGGTTGAGAGCCCTAGGGCTGCTTGGATTCGCCTCGGTTCCCTTAGGGAGCCTTAGGGAGCCACCTCCCCCTGCTTGGACCACTCCACCGGCACGAGACTCGACTCCGAGCGGAGAGCCACCGGGGGCATAGGTGTCCTTTTAGGGTAAATAGATGGATCTTCCTGGTAGATGAGAAAAAAACATCAGGTAAACCAGGGATGGCCATCTATTTTTCAACCAAACCAACAGGACACCCATGATTGAGGCTGGGGGGGGGGTGGGGAATCGCCATCTATTTTTCGAAAGCAAACCAACCAGAAACGACGCCTACCGGGGGTCCCCGCTGCAGCGCTTGGCCGCGAGCGTTCTGCACCACCAGGTCCTCCCGGCGCCCGTGGCCCTGGAGTCGGCTCGACACGGCGGCGGCGTTGTTGTTTTCCGTGTTTTTTGGGGGAGAAAAACATGTGAAACCGAAGGAAACCAAAAGGAAACCACAAGGAAACGAAAAGGAAACCAAGCAGGGAACCAAACAGGAAACAAAACAAAAAGTCAAAGGAAACCCACCAGGAAACAAAACAAAAAGTCAAAGGAGACCAAAGCAAACCGAAGGAAACCAAAACTATGTCCTATGGGCGATCATCCAAACCAAAGGAGGTCGTTTTGGGATCCAGTTGTCCTAGAACTTGAACGGCAATGCGCTGGCTGGATGAGAATGACATGCTGCATCTCATGCTGCATCCCCTACCCCAGGACAATGGGCTGCCTTTGCTTCTTTTTTAAGGTTGGACCCCCCCAAAATGGCAGCTTTCCTTTTGGCTTCCCGGTAAACCAACCCCAAAAAAGGGTACCCTCAGACAAAAGACAGACCCAAATGCATATGTGCATAAACAAAATATAGTGGCCACGTGTCTGTGTCGTTTATTCTCACTTCCTGAATGATTGGCAACAAAAGTGTTGCCACTGCGGGCTTCCCATTTGCTTATGCCCTCTGGAAAAATAAGAACGTATGTCCAGCAGTGAAATCGCTTCCCTTTAAATCCAACAGGGGAACATAAACAAATATGCATGTGAGCAAACGGAAGGCAAAGATGCAAAACGAACAGGACCTATTCTGAAACTCTGTTGCTTTGCGTACCCCTGCTAAAAGTGACTAACCTTTAGCGGTTTAATACGGACACCCCCACTTGGTCGGCAAAAAGAAGTTAAAGTCCTAACATCCCTTGGCAAAAAATGCGAACCAAGTTGAAAGGTGGCACTCAGTTGTTCAGTGGCCCTGGAAAAAGGGAACCCTTTTTGGGGCTTGGACCATTTTTGGTGGGGCAGCCACCCGAAAAAACAAAGGGAAAAGGAATTGGTGCCACTGGACCACTGAGATTCTGAAAGGCCTTTGCCCTCGCCCAACCGCGCCTTGTCGCCGATCCGAAAGGTGATGGGCCCCAGCTTGCCGGGCTGATACCGGCAGCGGGGAGGCCTGCGAAGCGCGACCGCAGGCCAGCGAGAGGGGCGAAGATGTCGGAATAGGAGTGTGGGCCCCGCAAAAACGCATAATTTCCCGTGGGTTTCGCAAAAAGAGAGAGGAAAAGACACACATACACACACACACACACAAAAAGAAGAAGCAACAACGTGGACGTTCTTTGCGGTTTTCCTGTAGACCAACCTGAAAATGGTGCGCTCAAGAACCATATGCTCAAATGGGTTGGTACCTCTTGGACCCCTTCAGGTGGCTTCCACTCGCGAGCAAGTGTGTGCAGCTCCTCTCTCACGCTTGGATATCTAGAGAGAGAAAGAACATGTATGACTGAGTCAGTGAATGACTGAGTGAGTGAATGAATGAATAAACCAACGCACGAATGAATGAATGAATGAATGAATGAATGAATGAATGAATGAATGAATGAATGAATGAATGAATGAATGAATGAATGAATGAATGAAGGAATGAACAAATGAACGAGCGAACGAACAAATGCAGGAATGCAGGAATGCCTGAATGCATGCATGCATGCATGCATGCATGCATGCATGCATGCATGAATGAATGAATGAATGAATGAATGAATGAATGAATGAATGAATGAATGAACGAACGAACGAATGAATGAATGAATGAATGGTGGGGGCCTCTCGGTTGCTTTAGGGGATGTGGTTGAGTGAGTATTGGGCTAGTTTGGACAGTCAACCCCAAACGCACAGCCACAGCCAGGACATCAGCCCTTTGTCGAGCCTAAATGAACCCCAAACAAACCCAAGACACCCCCCGCCTTTAATATCTAAGCAAGCCCAAAATTCATCAGAAACCTGCCCCGAGCAACAACTGTCACCAAATCAAACAAGCAGCCCCAGGTCCCAGCGAGGCCGGGAGTGCGGCCAAACTCCACCAAGTCAGGGCCATTGGGCACCAAAAAACAGGGGATGGGGATGCGGCCGCAACCAACCCAACCCACCAACCAGCCACCTGGCCGGGCTTCATCTCCAGCCAGAGGATTAGAGATCAACCAAAAACGGTGAACTTTCCTTTGACCACGTCAAAAAATAAAAACCTTCCCTGGGCAGGGATCCGGATGCACTATACACCTGAACATTGCAACTTGTAAATGGTGCTTTCCCTTTATTTTGGCGGAAAAAGCAACATGTTTCAAATGGTTGCAGAATGTATCTTTTAAGGAGCCCTGCTTAGCTTGTTGATTTAATGGGGGTCACCCATTTGTGGGCTTCCCGTTGGGTTTCCCTTCAACCCCAAAAGGCGCTTGGCGCATCGCCATCCCACGTTCAGCTCTCTGCTCGCGCCTGATGACCAAGCTGAGCAACAAGTCCACCGGCGACCGGAAGTGTGCCTTGCGGCCGACGGATTTTTGGGACTCTGCGGGGGGGTCCGCTGGCTCCTCTGGGCAAGGTGGGTCTTGGAAATGAACCGGCCTTTTGGGAAAATAGATGGCCCTGGTAAATGGAAGAAACCCCACCTAAACCAGTGGAACCCATCTATTTTTCATCAAACTAACCTAAAAAGGACACCCTTGGTCTTGGGCATGAACCGGACATCCCCTTAAATGAAGCAAGTGATGGTTGCAGAGGTGGGGTGAGAGGTAATAACGTTCGGAAAATTCACAGCCAAAGGGGGGTTGGGGGGGTGGGGTGGGGCGGGGTGGCGGGGTGGCGGGGTGGGGCAGGGGTCATTTGTTGATTCCCAAAGGAGCATCGGCAAATCCTCTTGACAACCTGCTCGGAACGTGGCCCTGTTCTGTAATCCACCCGCCTGTTGAAGGAACGCAAAACCGTTTCCACTTGCAGTACAGGAGTTGATTCCTCATTTTCAGTTAACCCAATTGACCGAACCATTGGATAGCTGCTATCGGATGTGTATGCCTCTCCGGTTCGGCTTCAACTACCAGAAGCCAAGGTGCGGATTCACCGAAACACTCAAGGCGGCAATGGAACTGCTGGCTTTGTGTGAACATAGGGGACCCTATGGGTGGTTTTCCTTTCATCCTTTACCACACAAAAAAGGGTACCACCCGGGCCCGAAAAGGCTTGCCTTCTGCCCCAAGCTTCCCAGCGCGGGTTCGTCGTTTGGCCCCTTTTTGGGGGAAGCAGATCAGCACCAGTCTATCAAACCTCGTTTGGAGAAGTCCTTGCACACAAGGCGGGGGTCAAAAGGGCAAGCTGAGGACAAAACACGCTAACTTCCCCATTCGTTCTAGGGATCCTTCTTTCCAAAAAACCGCCCAAACCTCAGGCGAACGGCTGGTTGTTGAAAACACCCCCTAGCATAGGTGTCCTTTTAGGGGGATATAGATGGCCCTGGTAGATGATTAAACCACCAAAACCAGGGCCATCTATTTTCCTAGCAAAGCAACCAGAAAGGACACCTATGCCCTCTAGACTTCTGCCTGCTGCAGCTGTATGTCTCCCGCTTCGGCGGGAGGCATCAGCCATGGGATCTTCAGCGAGTCATCGCGAGCTTTTTTTTTTTTCCGGAGGCGCCGCGGATGGTCCGAACACTTGTCGCGGGTCTCAGGCTGCTCGGAATCAGTTCTCCTTTGGAAGGGAAGCCGAAAGGAAAGAAGCTCATGTTGAAGCACGCCAAGCCATGACTGCCATCCTAGCAAACTTAGCATCCATCTTGCGGACCTGGAACTCAAAGTTAGTTCACATCTTACCTCTTGGCGACAAAATGGCGGCGTGCATTGGAAGTGAGGAACCGATGTGCACGGCCCGAGCAACTGCATCCATGGCTGAGTGACGTTTGATTTTGCCGGGTGGCTTCGGGGCCTTGCTGTGCAAGCCACACCTTTCATGAGCTTGCCCACTGTCAAGCTGAAGCCCACGAAGCGCGGCACAGCGCTGCGAAAGGCAACGTCAAAGCTAGCAAAACAAGCCGGCAGCGGCTTCCGGACCCGGAAGCCATCTCAACACGAGCGGGTTTGCTTTTCTTTTTCTTTCCTTTTCCGCCAAGGCGTTGAAGCTATAATTCGAACGACCTTCGACAGTTGCACAAAGCTCGAGCGATGTTCAAGGAATTCGTGGGGGCCCTGCGATTTCATGTCGTAAGCTCTGTTTTTTCTCACCCTGCAAGGAGCCTTGACCTTTTCCCTTCCGGGTTGCCACCAAGACCTATCCGGTCCATGGCACATGCTGCACCGTCGCCCTTTTGCTTGCCCCTTTGTAATGAAGAGACCTTGCTGAACAACTGTCCTGCGATCTGGTAAACACGGATTCACTGAGGCCTCCTAGCAGATGGAAGGCCTACTAGTTGAGCTTCTGGATTGCGCCATGGCCACGGACAAACAACTCAGACTGACACGGTCCTCCGGCTTTGAATGCATATTGCTGCCTTCTCTGAAGGCTGAATCAAACGTTCAAGCTGCGCAGTCTGGGAGATGGCTTCGAACTCCTCTCAGCCAGTCTTACTTCCCTGGTGTAAGCCAGAACCTTCCAACACCGCTCGGGACGCCCCCGAAAATGACCCCGCGATGTTTTTGGACCGGCGCAACCCCCCCCCCAATACTCCCAAAATCGTGGCGCTCCTTTGGCTCCCCCCTTGCGCCAAGACGGAAGGATACCCCGAGCCCATTTTTTGTTCGGTCGATTTTTCGTAGGGAGCCCTCCCCAAGGGTGGAAGAGGGCACTGGAAAGAGATCGGCCAGCCAAAGCCACCCGCTGCCAGCCCCCAAGCTGCCGGCCCAGGCATCGCGCGCTGGCTCCTGAAAAGCTGCGAGCTTTTTGTTTGTTCTTCTTTTGTTTTTCCCAAGTTGTTTTTCTCCCCCCAGATAGCTGAAAGCTTTGCTTGTTATTTCCTTTGTTTTCTTTTTTAGAGTTTGCTTGTTTTTGTCTTTTGTTATATTTTTGTCTCGCTGAGGCGAGGGAGTCCAGCCCGAGTGTCCTGACCCTCCCTCCAGCAATTTTTTGGTCCCAGGTCCATCCCTCCAATCGAAGCTGCCAGGACGGCTTTGGAAGAGAAAAAGGGCGTTGGTGAGGAGGTGAGGTGTGGATTTTGATCAAAAACAAAATGTGCTTTGCCGTGCTGCTTGGCCAACACGATTTTTGGGAACTGGTGAGCACCCCTTCTGTTTTGGCTCTCCTTTCGGGAACCAATGCCATGTTGCTGGACAGAGGGATGGTCTGTGCGTGGGTTCAATGACTGGCTGCCATTGATGAACCAAAATCCCGTGCCACAAAGTGATCGCTACAGTCCAATATCACAGCGCTTCACCAGAGCTTCTTCCAATGCAGCAGGCAAAAATGTGGCCGCTTCTTGAGTACAACATGTACAGAAAGGTGTCAACCCACTATGGCTTTCAAACTTGGAACCATCGCTTGCTTGTCGCAACTGGTCTGTTCTTGCTTAGCGTGCTGGTCACAAACGCTTCCCCGGCCAAGCCTCTGCAGCGCGCCCTGGGCAAGTCCGCATGTCAATGCACAGTCGGAAACCAATTTTCTGGGACCTTCAAGTGATCAGCTCCTCTGTGATTGGTGGTTTGACTTGGTGGTTTATGTACCCCCTACAAGCACCAGGGGTTCAAATCCAAATCCAAGCCACCCATCCAAACCACCCCTTGGGGGAGACCTGAAGTGAGAGGCAAGTACTGACTCAGCAAGTCGCAAAGACAAATGATTCGGAATGGGGCGCTGAGCGCGGGAACGATCACTTGCATTGTAGCCGAGTAACCTTGTTTGACTCCATAACTAGTAGAGAGGTTAGAATAAGGGTACCCTTTTTGTGTAGTCTATTTTAGTAGGGGAACCCTCCCCCGAAAAAGGGTAAAAGGGCACTACTGGGGGACCTAGATAATGGTAGAACCTGACTAGTGAACCCACTCTGATTCAGGACGCCTGGAATTCCCAGCCAACTGCCAGACAATACTACTTTAAAGGCGCCCACAAGATGATTAAAGACGCCCCTGTCCAGCCCAAAAATCGGGAAAAAATACAAACACTACCAAAGCTATTGCCAATGCTTTTGCCAATTCTACCTCCTTTCATCGTCTCAAGGGCTGCCATTCCAGAAATCCAAAAACACGGCTAGCCCGGAAACATCAAATGTCTTTTTACAACTTGGCTAAAAATACAAGTTTGACAAGCTCGCAAAGGGTACTCCGTCCTTCAAGCCTAGCCCCCCCCCTCGCAAAAAAAAAAAAAACAAGCCCCTCTGATGAATCAAGTCCCTCTCCAGCCCTCACAAATATGGAAATGCCATGTCCTCTTACTTCCCTATTTGTTGCAGTCCTCGCAAGACAGGTTTTAGACAGGAAAGGACCGGAGAGGATTGGCCGTGTCCGGATGCATCCGAGAGAGCTGCAGGGACGGGGAGCCAAAACCCGGCGGTCCCCAACCTCGTCTGCCTGTGGGGTGGGAGGGGGTACTAATCAAGCTCCACCATTATACCCCCTTGCAGGGTTGTGGGGAATGACCACTGTGATACAACAAAAAGGGCTTCCCAAAGACTCTTTTGTTCTTATAAAGGGGGATTCCCTTGTTCCGCCAGTTATTTTTTTCCACACCTGCAACCAACTTCGGTGAAACAAATGTGGCAGAAAAAGCCATGAATCGCGATGGAAAGGAGTATACCCCCTTGTGCTCCTGAAATCAGCCGTGAACCAAGGGAGACATCCCTTCCAGGTTCCATTGGTGCTCATCGGGAATCAATCCGGCTTGCCCATTGCCAAGAAAAATGTTCGGAGCGCGTCCCCCACAACAAACCACCGCACCACCTGCCCGAGTCGCCCCTCCCGCGCCTCGGGACTCCCCGAAGCCCCGCCAAAGCCTCAAATCAAACAAAACAAAACGACACCCGGACTCGCAGCTAAGCCACGCTACGAAAACTCGGAGGCCTTTGGGGAAGCAAGTGCTTCAAGGTATGCCACTTAGGATCATTGTACACAATGGTATTCCAGGATACTTCGTAGCTTTGTAGCAGGGTTCCACTTTTGACGACCCCCAAGATAGGCTTAAATCCAGGGGCAAGGCCTCTGGGAACCATCAAGTGGAACCCTGGTTCGTAGATGTACTGAAATTCTGAAGATCTCCTTTTATCAATTGGGCAAGGCCTCTCCGTGTCTGTACGACTTACCAGAACTCCGACTGAGATCTGCCGAACAAAGGGCTTCGTGGAACTGGGCACGCACGCATGTGCTGTCCAGCTTGCAAACGCCACAGCCATGTCAAACCAACCCCTGCCCAAGCTAAAGATTTGGATCAGTGAAGAACTTGTGTGTGTGTGTGTGTCATGTTCTCGAGGACAAACAAAAAAACGGCAAAGTTGCTCTTACTTGGCTGTTTCTCAAAATTGGGAACCCTGCAGGTAGGCGGTTTCCTTTTGGTTTCCGTTTTCATTACCTCCAAAGAGGGGTCCCCTATTTTGAGACACACTTAGACACCCATTTGTTGCTGGGGGTGTCTTTTGTGATCGTACCCGTTGTTGGGTGGTTGTTTATCAATGAGACAACCGGAGCCATTTCCGGGGGGGCGAGGGGGGGGGGGGCGCAACCATGAAAAGAAGACACACCCAAGTTGCTCTGATTTGTTGCCGGTTCGTTGGAAGAGTTACCTGTGGGAAGAGTTTCTAAGGGTAGCTTCCCCATTCTTTCCAGGGATCCTTCTTTCTAGAAAACCCACAAAAACCCAGGGAAAGCAGCTGGTGATTGAAAAGAACGATGGTTGAACAGAATGGTTGGAATCAACCCCTGGAGATTTTTCCGTGAAACCCACGGCTCGACATCTGTCGCTCTCGCTTCGAGGTTTGGACGCTTGCGCCAGGCAGTGCAAGGAGGCGAGGTGCAGGGCTACATCTGCGGGCACTGCCTGGCGCTCGCTTGGCATTGTGAATGCAGCATGTGTTTACCTATTTATACATTTTATTACATATATATATATATATTATACGTGTATATATCTATAGATTGTGTGTATATATATATATATATGTTTTTTTGGGGGGTGGGAAGGTCGGTGGGTGGGGCATTGAGAGATAGGGTTCATTCATGAGGGGAAGGTGATTAGACAAGCTACGACGAGGTCTTCTCCCTGTGGTTCCTTTTTCGGGGTGACCACTCTGATCCGATAGTTCGAACGGCGACGAGTTGCCAAGGGAGCGGTTCCACCAATTCTCCGAAAAATTGTCCTATGTCTTTGGGGAGCCACGAAAACTCGGTTCATGGTTTTTCGCCCTTTGGCAGAAGGACATTCAAACAAGCAACTAAAACGAGGCTGTGGCAACTCGATGGCCCCAAAAGCTAATGTTCAAGTCATCTTTCTGGGAAAATAGGGGCTTGGGAAGTTGTACCAGCCTAAGCTTGGCTGAATGCCAGCGCAACAAGGCCCAATGCAGCAGATTCCCCTGGAAGATCCAAATGGAACCAAGCACTAAAACTTGCGGTCCCTTGGTTGTTTAACTTGGACCCATACCCAGGTTTTCCTAAATTGCAGTGGAGTCTCCGAATTGTTCCATTCCCTTTCAAGGGCCAAAACCAACTGCGTGAGGAGCAAATTCCACCTGCCCGCCCATCCTGAAACCTGAGCCATGTTCCTCTAAAGAGAAACTGAACCTCTTGTGGGTTCCCAGCGCCTTACGCAATTGGTATACCAATGTCACAAGACCTGGCGTGTAGGTTGAGTTTGCTCGCCCCTGGTTTGCTGTTTTCGTGCTTCCTTTTTGGAAACCGAAAGGAAACCGAAAGGACACCCGAAGCCATTTTGGGGTTCCAAACAAAAAAAACGAGCAACGGCGCCCACCAGTCCCTGCTCACGGGCGCTTTCTCAGCCCAGTGGCTATAGGGAAGGAAGGCCACTGGGCTGGTGAATTGTTAAGGGTGGCTAAAGTGATGAAAATTTCTGTTTTCCACCAAAAGGAGAAGAAACAACAAGCTTTGTCACACAAAAAAGGAAGGGTTGTGTTTTGAATTTGGCTGAAGTGATTCAAACCCCTTCCCCCAACAAAAAGGAATGGTCCTTTTTGGGGAACCGTCTGTTGGTTGTTGCTTTTTTTCTGGGCAACCCAAAAGAAGAAAACTAAGCGTTGCGCCATTTTGTGGCTCCGAATCCTGAACAGAAAACCGCAAAACAAACAAAAAAAGCAGCACTTTGTGGGTCCAACCAAACAGGAACCCCCCCCAAAGAAAGACAGCAAGCACTGTTGCTCCGAATCTTAAGAAAACGAGACACCCACCGAAAAACCACAGCACACTCTGTGGCTCCGAATCCGGGGGAGAAAAAAGGGGGGGAAAAACAACACCCACCCAAAACAAAAAACAAAAACAGCAAGTTGCGGTTCCGAATCCGAGAACAAAAATCGGTCGGCCCCCCCCATTTTTTTTTCTTCTCAAATCGAGTCACGTGGCACGCGGCCACCCCGAGCCTCGCAGGCCAGTGCCACGCGCGCGGAGTCCACCAGCGAGGCAGGCGGCGCCAGGAAGGCGAGCGCCTCAAAAACCCGCCGCGGCGGGGCTCCGCTTGGCGCGCGGGGACTTGGCGGGCGTCCGATGTTTTTGTGGTAAAAAATGGTTGATGTGGGAAGGGGGGCAAAAAAACACTCTTTTTTTTTAGCAGCTCAGTGGTTGGATGTCCCAATGAACCAAATCTACTTTTTTGCAGTTCAGTGGGGAGTTCCCACTTCACCACAATAAGCGAAAATGCAAAATGGTTCCCAACAACAACCATGGGCAGGGTGCGTCCCTAGGAGAAAACCCCCCAATTTCAGGGTAGACTTAAACCCAGGGGTTCACTGCCCCCAAGGTAGTTCCACTTTTTCAAGAAGTGGAACCCTGCCGCAAGGAACCCAGGAACCCAGGAACCCGAAATCGGTGTCCCGAGGAGACCCCCACCTGTTCAAGGCCTCAAATGATGAGGTCTTGATGCCCCTTAGAGCACCCGGCTCCTCGTTCTTTGATAAAACACATGACGCTTCTCGGGACACAGGAGATTCCACAAACCTGGGTATGTGCCGAAAGAGCTGCCTGGACCCTCAAACCCATACAAAAGGGAATTAATTCACCCCATTTTGGGGCAAACAAAAAACGTTGGTCCGGGTTTTTTCTGGGCTTAAAGGTGGACCTTTTTGGCAACCAACATGTAAGCCAAAGAGTTGGATGGAGCAACGCCTCACTGTTGAAACATGCCAAACTCCCCTCAAGCGGGAATTCGGATCCCGATCTGCTCCTGTCCGTCCAAGGGTGCTCCGGCCCAAAGTGCAAGGGTCCGGCTCCCATTCGAGCGATTCGATCGACTGACTCAAGGCTCGAAAAATTGGCCCCAACATTGTGGGGTACATCCCTTTTTTACGGGTAGTTTCAGGGTGTTTTACGGGTTGTTTGAAAGGGTTTCTACGGGTAGTTTGAGGGTTTCTACGGGTACTTTGAGGGTCCAGGTACATCGTCGGCTCCTTGGAAATGGTTCAGAGCAGCACTGCCAAAAGTGATAATTCTTTGAATCCAGACAAATGGCCAGTCTCCAAGGCTCTTTCTGGATCAACTTTTTACGTGGGAAGGAGATTCTTGGCAAGCAACTGACACGTTGGAACCCGAATGATGTGCGGTTTCCCCTTGAAAATGACGACTCCCCCTCAAAAGGGTACTGACATTGTAGTGGAAAGGCTCATATAGGAGCTCACTACAGTCCACTGCTCACTTATCAAAACCTCGGATACTCGGCGAAAAACTCGACTGGCGTCGCTGCGCTGATTTCTTTTTGGCCACAAGATGCATCCAGTCGCCCGCCATCGCTGGGACTGCTGGTCTATCAAAACATCGGTGCCGAGTGACCAGCGGCGCGGAGGACCCTCGCCCCCCCACGGTCCAATCGCCTGATTGGAAAGCGCCTCTCGGACCTGAGAGAACGAAGAAATTGGGCAGCTCCGACGAAAACGAAAATCACCTTTCCGATCCGGAGTCTAGAAAACCTTCGGAAACCCAGATTGAAAACGGGAAACAATGACATGCCTGGAGAATTTTGATGCGGCGGTGTCGCCAAATGTCCGGTGCACGTCCCCTGCATCTGCAGTCTAACATGGAACCCAACCAGCATGTCCCCAAAACGAACTTCCGCGGGTTCAGTGTTCATCAGAGCCAAGGCGGCTCTACTCAGATCCCGGCCCAGTTCAGCTCCGGCAAAGGTTCCAACCTGTGGAAACTCACCCTGGCACTGGGAACAGTGCTGGGCTGTCCGTTTTCAGACCTGCTAAAAGTGACTAACTCCTAGTGGGTTAAAGGGAAATCACTAACCAACTAAAAAACCCAACAGCCAAAGGGGACAGCTGGGAGCCGCCCAGTTGAAGCTTGCCCCTTGTTTTTGTTGATTGCGTTTGAAGGAAGACTTGCCTGGAAAAAAGGGACTGGACATGGGGAAACTGTTGGGGATGTGAAGCGAAAGCACCACCAAATCAAAGCGTTACCTTAACACGCTTCTGAGAGAAGCGTCATTTCTTACTCAGTCGATGTTCTCTTGGCTTCAAATGGACACGCTGAGGATGATTCCCTTTGAAGACCGCCGACAAACGAGACGAATAAGACGGCAGGGTCAGCGGCAGCAAGGGCTCTTTGATTCGACACATGTGGCCATGGGTCCAAAATCCAAATCGTACCTCCAGTGAACATCCCAATAGACTAAAATGGGTGGTGCATCTACCCCAAAATGGGATCCCATTAGTTTTGACCCACGGCCATGTCGTGTTTCTTGCTAGACACCTCGGGCACATGCGGCGTCTCAAGCCCAGTCAACCCTCAAGCGCCCCCCTTTCAGCGCCCGGCTGCACCGTCAGCTCAGTGAGAACTTCATCCATGAACGCGAAGGCAGGAAGTACCTCAGCGAGCAAAGTCTGACCACCAGGTCTTCCATGAGGTGCCTGGACCCTCAAACTACCCTTAAACAACTGAAAAAAACACCAACCAGATTGGCGCAATCACCCAAACTGGTATGGGTTGAGGGTTTAGGTGCCAAGATTCATGGCAAAGAAAACCCAAGGGCTTCTTGAATAGCTTGCTGCTTGCTTGGCTCTCTACCTCGTCAGGTTCTCAGAGCTTGCCATCTTACTCGTCGAAGGGCAGTTCCATGTCCCATGTCAAGAATTGAAGCCGTATACAGCCTTGACTTCTGGCATGACCTAGCCTTACAGCCATCCGCGTGTACGTGGTCACATGCCCCACTTGTCTTGCAGCGATGCTGTCCTGGACAACCACGTCCCCCCCACCACCCCACCCAGACTACCCAGACTACCCACTACCCAGACTACCCAGACTACCCTGGCGCAGCTGCTGTCTTTGCCAAGACCCACGGACTTGCTCGAAAGGTAACTGCCATGCCCAGTTTAGGACATCGACATCTAATTTGGATTATCGCACCTAACGCTACATTTGCCATACTGCAGACATGCGCAGCCATGTTGCTGAAAAGCACAAAGCCTCGATTTTCTGAGAGGCCAGATTAGTTCTTGCGCTAGTGCCAGAGTGATTCTGCATGCAGCGTGCAAGGGTTGAGCTTCTTCTGCTCAACGATAAAAATGGTATGGGAAGGCTCCGAAACATCAGGACAAGGGTCCCTCTTCGAGACACGACCCGCAACCCACATCTTGAGGGCTTCGGCGCACCTTGTGGCGCACAGGAAAATCCTTGAGCTACTGTGGATGGTTGCGAAATCCGATTCGCACCACTTGGAAACCATGGCAAACTATTGTTGTTGGTATCTACGGGGGAATCATCATTCTAGGGTTTCTTAGGTGATGCGAAATGGATTTCGTCCATCCACAGTAATACACTCCAGCGATTGGGCATCCAATTTTGTGCTCAAGCTAGACAGCTTGGGGTCATAGAGACAAAGGAGAGAAACGGAAACGACCGCATCTGCCCCAAGTCCTGGCAAGTCTTGCGCAGGACCCTCCAAGGTTCTAAGACTAAGGAGAGGCTTCTACCGGATCGGAAACATTCCAAAACAAGCTCAAAGAAGCTTTTATCCATCATATGCTCACAAAACCCCTGCTAGCTCCCAAAAGCTCCCTCTGAAAAGCGAATTTGGAGACCTGCTCCTTAGCTCCCTTCCAACCAGCAGCTAGTTCTGGCTATGTGCGAATCATTCTGTCTGCCTCACCCCGGGCAGATTCTCCAGCCGGGGCCATTGATGCTGGCATCTGAGAGCCAGTAGATGCTGGTCTCTGGGGTGACACCCTCCGGCCCGTCCGACCCAGAATACGCTTTGCAGTTCACCAGCAGCGTGTCATACCTCGCAAGGGAGACCGGAACTGGTCAAAATCAAAGCCGAGCAAAGAGGCCCCCGGAAGTGCGATTCATAATTCAATCATTCGACAGCACATCAGCTTCCTTCCGATTTTGTGTTTGCACTGGTGGTTTGGAGGTTAGGGGTGGCTTCCCATTTTAAACTTTTACAAGAACCAGCAGCTCAACTCCCCCGACCACCAATCCAAACCACCAACTAGGGGTTACCTGAGAGCCGCTGGCCAAACCTGAAGCTAAAAATCACCACCCGGAAGCCCCTTCAAGGCGTGGGCTTTCAAAGGTGACCTAAGAAAGCTGGATGGCGTGTTGGTGAACGGAACAAGATCAATGGAAACCAGTGGAACCCATCCATTTTTAATTTCAAATGAACCTAACACCTATGATTGCCGGATTGATGTGCAAATTACGATTAGAAAGGAATCCCAAGGGCCTCAATTGGGTCTCATCTTCGGGCAAATGGGAGAGGAACCTTGGGATTCCGTGGAAGGGAGTGCGATCCCTTTTCAGTCTGCCCTGTGGGAAACCCCTAAACATCAGAGGAATTAACACAACTCAAGTCATACTCAAAACCCGGAATTAAAATGGCCGTAACCCCAGAACCATGCTTCAAGAATTCAGCAGCTATTTATGGCAAGGCATCGTCCCTTGCTAACCTTCATCTACCCGGGTTTTGAGGACGTGGCTCACCTCAAAGAGCGGAAGTTGTTGCATCTCCAGTAACAATGAGGGCAGGGGGGTGGGGTCTCGGTTTTCCCCATAGGGAAAATGGCCTACATGCGGGCCAAGACGGGTGGTTGTAAGCATCACTTGAGCCCATTCAATTTGAGGGGGTCCTTTAAGTGAAATGATGCTTGAGGGGGCAGATCTAGGGCGCCCAATTTGTTTGACTGGGTCAAACCCGGATGGGTCGGGGGAAGGGGGTGACCCCTGGAATTCCACTTGTGGTCCATTACTGCACATGTTCGTGATTTTTTAAAGCACTGCTCAGACAGTCGTTCCATTGGATCAAGCATGCCCAAAGCCAAAACAACAATCCTCAGACTCTCTTTCTAGGAAGCAGCCTGCCACTGTGCCAAGAGTTCTGGTAGAAAGTTTGATTTTGACAAGTTTTGTCGTTTGTTCTTTTCGGTTTTCGGCATGTGATCCAGTGGTTTTGTGTTTGTGGAAGGGACACCCTACTTAAATTCCAGCTTCAAATTAAGTTTGGAGTTGAACTCAGCTTGAATAAGTTGTGCTTTAACCAAATGATGTGTACAGAAATTATTTTGGAAAGGAAACTACGTGTAATGTCTAATCTGAAATGGAATAATTATTATCTAAGTTCTAAATTGGAATAGACACTCTGATTGGATTCTTTCTTACCAAACTCGCTTTAAACTCCAAATTGAATCTAAGATATGATTTCCAATAGGAATCGGAATAAGTAATTCCTTGTTGAGTCCTATTCAAATTCTGTTCAAGATCAAATCTTAGAGAGCGGCCGCTGGTGAAGAGGTGAATTAGTACGCAAAACGCTACAACCACTGTGTTTGGGACCATGGTAGTTCTGGGGGCTAGGTAGAAACATGATTTGGCACCTCTGAACCCGTTCCTTATGAAATTGTACATAACATGTTCTACTCAAAATCTAACTGAATGTAACAGAAACTAATAATAATCCAATCATTGTCTCTATCTTGGAATAGAGCTTAAACAACAACTAATATACTTCAAACTGAGCATCACAGAGGATGTCCTGTCCAATCGATTTGTATTTACACACCAGGTAGCATTCAAACACAATGTGTTCACAGTCGGGACCTCTGAATTGCTGCACTTTGAGATAATACTTGATTTATGTATCAAAGTCTACTCAATTTCTAACTGCATGTAAATACAAGTTATAAAGCAAAGAATCCACTCATAATGTCCATTTACTCCAGATGTTGTTTTCTACAAATATAAATATATATATATATATATAACCCAAATAACAAAATATGCAGGAGTTCCTTTCCCATATAACCGTCTCAAAAAAACAACTGACATTTAGACACAATGTATTCAACACGAGCTCAACATAAGCAAAGCAAATGCAAGCAGCTAATACAGACTGGCATGCACAAGCAGATCAAATTTTGCAAAAGTGCACGGCCACCGTCCCCTGCCCTCCTTCAGGCTTCAACCTAGTTAGTTTTGGGGGGCCCTCCTTTGTGGTTTCTAGATCAATGTACCTTGGCTGACAAAGCTGACTAAACAGTTCTGCGTAGCTTTGGAGGAACCAACCAACCAACCGACTGACCAACCAACCAACCAACTGACTGAGCGACCAATCAACCAACCGACTGACCGACCAACAAGAAAACAACGAACCAGCCAAACAACCAGCTAGCCAACCAACCAGGCAACCGACCCACCAAGCAAGCAAGCAAGCAAGCAAGCAAGCAACCAACCAAAACCAACCCAAACCAACCAAAACCAACCAAAACCAACCAAAACCCACCAACCAACCAACCAACCAACCAGGTAGCCAACCAACCAACCAACCAACCAGGTAGCCAACCAACCAACCAACCAACCAACCAACCAACCAACCAGAAAGCCAACCAACCAACCAACCAGCCAACCAGCCAAGCAACCAACCAACCAACCAACCAACCAACCAACCAAAACCAACCAAAACCAACCAAAACCAACCAACCAACCAACCAACCAACCAACCAACCAACCAACCAACCAACCAACCAACCAACCAACCAACCAACCAACCAACCAACCAACCAACCAACCAACCAACCAACCAACCAACCAACCAACCAACCAACCAACCAACCAACCAACCAACCAACCAACCAACCAACCAACCAACCAACCAACCAACCAACCAACCAACCAACCAACCAACCAACCAACCAACGCCAACAAGCCAACCAGGTGCAACGAAGGGAGCCCCGGCGATCTCGGCCGAGGCGCCACTCCTCGGTGCTGAAGCCCTCCACGCGGATGGGCGACGCAGCGGAGGCGTTCACCGCGATGACGCAGGCCTCGGATTTCCAGGCGACACGCTGATCTACCCCATATGGGGGATATGCTTCAGGGACAAGCCAATGATCAGCTCTTAAGGCTTTACAAAGGGCTTCATAAGGGCTCGCTGGCTGAGTGGATGGCCCAAAAAAAGGCCCCAAACCTTATAATTACCGCTAAAATGGTCCAAACCCAAAAAGTTTCAAGTTCATGAACTCAGGAAGTGAGTCTAAAGGTCCAAAAACCGGGCGGCGGCGTTTTTTTTGGGTATCTTATTGGTATCTTCTTGGTATCTGTTGGGCATCTTATTGGTATATATATATATATATATATTATTTGCATCTTATTGGTACATTTTGGTATCTTGTTGTTTCCTTTGGGTATCTGGTATCCTCTTGGCATCTTGGTTTGTTGGCTTCTTTCTGTTGCCCTTCTTGGTTTCAAGTTTATACATTTTTGTTGGAACTCCTTGTGGTTTCCCTTGGTTCTTCTTTTGGCTCCTTGGTACCTACCACCTTCCGCCTCGGAAACTCCGGGGACCTCCAAACTGCTTGCTGGCCATCCTTCGCAA